TCATGACCAAGTATCATTGCGTTCTTGTTGACCCAACGGGTTATGAGCTTTCTTTTTTAGTATATATAAATTCATACTAGCACTTGCATTTTGCATTGAAAAAAATTAAATATGGATGTGTGTGTGTGTGTCTATGTGCGTGCACATCCGCGTTTGTGTGTGTGGGGCACGCTGGTGTGTGTGCGTCTGTGTAAAAGCTATTATAAGATTTTTTTTTTTGAAATTTAAGTAATGTTTAGATATATACAACAGTTATAAATAATACTCAGTACTCTATAAAAATTTTAGTATGTGCAATTTGTTTGAAAACAAAATTAAGATAACGATACAATATCATTAATAACTCGTTTGTAAAGATGAGTTTCAACAGGTAAATGAAAAAGATCATTTATATTATCTAATTACAACAACAACAACAACCTAATTTGATCACACGAGAGGGTGTGTACGCAGACCTTGCCCCTACTCGAAAGTAAAGAGGTTGTTTCCAAGAGACATTTATACTATGTAAATATAAAAGAATATTCTTAGAACATAATGATATTTGACCAATATGTCCTCCAATTAGGCCTTAGGGCAGGTAAAAATGGGACATAGAGTATTTTGTCTTACGGAGTTGTAATTTTCTTCTCTTGTGGTGAGATTATATATTCTAAATATGGTAATGATTACTATTCTGTTAACATTATTATATTTCTTTAATCAGGGAGTGAATTTGTCAGACTACCGTGCCAACACTTTTTCTGCTTCAAGTGCATGAGAACTTTTGCGAACATGCATGTAAAGGAAGGTACCTTATCTAAGCTTCAGTGTCCAAGTGGTGCAAAATGTGGAGGCATGATACCCCCAGGTTTGCTGAAACGGTTACTAGATGAAGAGGGGTTTGAACAATGGGAAAATTCGATGTTGCAAAAAACATTGGAATCCATGTCTGATGTATGCTATTGCCCTAGGTGTGAAACAATATGCATAGAAGATGAAGAAAATCATGCGCAATGCCCAAAATGTTTCTACAGCTTCTGTACACTTTGTAGGGACAAGCGCCATGTTGGAGTTGCATGTATGTCACCGGAAATAAAACTTGCTATCTTACAGGTATATGGTACTTTTCTCTTTTATGTTTTTAGAGTATATCTTCGTTTTTAATACTACAAACCTAGTACTTCCGTTGAGTTCTAGGGGTCGAGATGCACACAACCTTACTCTATAAAAAACAAAAAGGTTGTTTCTGGTAGACACTTGATGCATTGATGTGTTTGCTTCCCAAACCTTCATAGATAGTAACAAGCATGAGATGTTTATGTGCCCTTTTGATTCCATCCATTATTTGCTTTAAGCTAAAATATTGTCATAAAACAATTCTTTTAGCTCCCTTTGCAATTGATGCATCTTCGTTGAGTGCTCTAGTTGAAAGGGAGAGGACTAGCATGGATTACATGCACAATTCAAATCTTCCAAATGCCATTTATAGTTTAAAAATTTGGAAACAGAAAATATAAGGCTCATAACAGGAAAAGTTACCAAATAAACCACGTGTCCTTCCATTAAAAAGAAATTGGGGATTCAAATCAAAACTGATGTGCCTATCTAAAGTATTTTCATTTCCTAATTATTATATCTTAAAATAAGATGACTGTTTGCAAACTGACTCTGCAGGGCGGTTGCTTTTTTCACTGAGCTAGGTGTATGATTCTCTAAATTTACCGCATCTATGATCATTGACCAACCTTTGATGCATTTACTAAGGCCTTTGTTAGCTCATTTTGAAAGAAATGTGAAAAAAGTGAGGGGGCAGATATGAAACTGAATAATCATGATTTAACAGTCATTAGCACTTCACAGCAAAGCCTAATCTTAACCCACGTCCACCCAAAATCTACTGGATTAGCTTGGTTTTCTACTTCGTTTTAGTCTATTATATAATTGTGATTGGGTGTGCACCCACTCAATAGCTTGGGACAGCACCTTTGGAGGTTTTTTGGGCCCAATTTGTTATCTTTTTTGCTTTGTTGGAAAAGGAACGACAACATTCATCTCAACTCAAAGGAGATCAAAAGCAACGTGAGCGAGAAATGATAAATGAAATTCTTAGCTTGAGGGAAATCAACCGCTCTGCAAAGCAATGCCCTTCTTGTAAGATGGCTATATCCCGGAGTGAGGGTTGCAACAAAATGGAATGCAAAAACTGTGGGCAGTATTTCTGCTATCGTTGTAATAAAGCCATTGATGGGTATGACCATTTCAGGTTAGTAGTGATGTCGTGGTATTTTTTTTAGTTTCCAAATGCTACTTTTCCGGTTTCCCCACATATCTACTGAAAAAATCTAAAAAGCCATGAATTATTGAATTTGATTGTATAGAGTGTATTTTATAATTTTTATTTTAAATATGGGTGTAATTTCATTGGTAATTTAATCCAAATTCAGAAAATAATTATTTTCATTTTACTTTTTGGACTATGGGGCGTGGCCAACGGGTAAGGCTACGGGTTTTGGTACCCCTATTCTTAGGTTCGAATCCTTCAGTCCCAGATCTTTTTCTCATTCAAATTTTTAGTGAAGAATGAATATGATCACTAGGTTTTTGCCAGCATATATGGTACTCCCTTCGTCCCAAATTCATCTTCCAATGTGAAAATTGCATATAGATCAAGAGCAAGATCAAAAACATATAAATGCCCTGCCTAGTCTCGTAAAAATGGAGTAAAAGAAAGAAAGAAGGAACATGTGTGTGCCAAAGAAAGAAACAAGAAGGTGATTCTGAGACATCTGAAAGTGACAAGTGGGGATGGATGGCTTTGTGGACGGGGGAGTATGACCTTGTTTGGCATTATATTTGGTGTTTAGCTTTAGTGTTTCAAAAATGTTACATAACAGGATGCGTCCAAAATGCTAGCACTAATATAATCGTGAAATGATTAATAATTATACTCAAGGTTAATATTAAAAAAAATCAGTACTAACAAGTATTTAATTTGAGTAATGCTAGAGTCACAATCTCTTTGTTCACAAACTACACAAATGTATCATTTGTACCCCTCACCAAGTTATTAAAATATCTTAAATAATTAAAAAAATAAAAATTTAATAACACAAATAGCAAGTTTGTGAACAAAGAGTTTTCTACTCTAGCATTACTCATTTAATTTGGCAAATAAGAAAGCAAATATTTAACTATAATTGATCACTCAATGTAAGCGTGATTGTTAGAGTAGGAGATTTGTGGGTTTAACATTTAAAAAAATGAGGTTAGTTTTCTCCATATATTCTGTAGGAGTCTCATGAACACAGCATCTCTACTTTTAATATGTTTACACTTACCCCCTCCCCAACCCACACTATGTGTAAGCTTATTTGGATTTTGTTGTTATTATCGTCTTGCACAATTCATGATTTTTTTTAAATAATAATTTTCAAGGGTGGAGCAGTGTGAACTCTTCCCAATGGAGGCAATACAGATGTGGGAGGAGCGTATGAATGCCCGTCAAGCAGTTGGTCAAATTCGGGCTCAACAACTCAACGCTGCTCATGGTGGTCACCCTTGTCCCATTTGTCGTCAACTAAATGCCAAGGTGAGATTATCTTTATCTTTTTGCCTTTCTTGCCACATGTTGTCACCTCCCCTTTCATCACAGAAGCTCACATCATTTGTGGCCGTTTGGTAGGATTCATTTTTTGTACTGGGCTGGGTTGAATCCATTGAAAATGAAGAAAACAAAGAAAACATATAGTGCCCGAGTCACTTTTTTGTTTGAATTTGAAACTAATGCCTTTATTTTTAGATTTTATTTTACTTTTTCATTTGTGTATATAATTCACCAAATCCAACATTCTTTAAAAAAAAAAAAAACTAAAGCAGACATGGCAACTTATAAACAACATTATATTATTATTGTCTTGACCTTCCAGACCCTACCAGAGTTGGGAATAAACTAGGTTTGTAGTTGTGGCTCATTGTAGAGAATATATGGATTAAATTACACACTTTTGTTGGCAATGCATGGCAGGTTGGAAATAACAATCACATATTCTGCTGGGCATGCCAAAATCATTATTGTTACCTTTGCAGAAAGACGGTGAAGCGAAGCTCCCACCATTTTGGCCCCAAAGGCTGCAAACAACACACCTTTGACTAGTTAAGCTTACAAACTCGTATTCATTCTTGTTATAATGTGTTCATTGTTCAATATATCTATGTATTTAAGTAGTATATTTTTTTTACTCATGAAGTTGGAATTTTCTAGGTGGATTTGGTGTTATTTAATAATAATAAGAATAATAGTAATAATAATAAGAATAATAGTAATAATAATGTTTGAAATGATCTTGTTGTATTGTAAGAAACCAGGTCTGTTTGTTCTTATTTTTGGTCCTTTGTTCGATTAGACCGATGTGTTATTTGCTCTATGGCTCTATATATTAGCCTGTGAAAGACTAAGGCCCCGTTTGGTACACGAAATTCGAATTATGGAATTAGAATTGAGGGCTTCAATTCTAATTCTGGTGTTTGGTAGCATAAAAATTATGTGGATTTGGAATTGGTAGTGCAAAAAATAAATTGGAATTGATGAATTCAATTCTATGGAATTGAATCCCATGGAATTTTAATTCCAATTCCATCAATTCCGTATACCAAACGGACCCTAAAAGTTGTTATTGGTAACAGGTTGGATACATGTTTTATGAGCCCTTTTAAGCATTTCTCCACTAGTCACATTTGAGTAACAAAAATGCTTGGTTAATAAGAGAAATAAAACTTTGAGGAATGTATAAAGAAAACTTTTATCTATGAGCTAAAATTGGTCCCTATTAAATGTATAAAAAAAACTTTTATCTATGAACTAAAATTGGTCAAATTCCAATATGCTTCATTTTATAACAGACATCGCTTGACCGGCATATTTGGCATTTGCGGAGTAGTTCTAACGTTTTGAAAATGTTCTCCGGCCACAGGTTTTAGGATCAACTTTTGCCTTGTTCAAAATTAATCTACAACACTAAACAATATCCAAAATGTTATTTTGAAACAAAGCCTTAGTCACTCAAACACTTTTCTACTCCGTATGTTTCTTACTCCCAATGAAGTTTTGAAAGATAAATATAGCAATACAAATTCTCAAATATTACAAGACACCGCAAGACCATGCGTGGAAACACTTGAAGATTTTATTAGACTCGTATATTCATTGTGACAATGAACATATACATAGAAAACAAACGCACATCTGGTTATGAGTTGTTGAAATGAATAAACAATTGCGTGGAAACAAACACACCTTAGAACATCCAAAGTTCCAAGCACATCATCATGTACAACTGAACAGCCAATCTGCACAAAGAAAACAAACGCGAGTGTTTCCCAGATCATTACTGCCGCAAAAAGCTGCAAAAGCCAACACAAGATGACTTTCGTCGTTTTGAGAAAGTTCTTCTTTGATAATCGCAAGTCTCAAGCACCCAGCGTGCTTATACTACAAGAATTATGACCACAATGACGAGGACAACCCCGAAAATCACCAGGAGTAGACACATCTGGAATGAATCAAAAAAGAGAAAATTTTGTGATAATAGAGCCAATAGTTGTGCGACCAAAAGTGGAAATTTTTCTATATGTAATGTAAGAAATGATATAATTGTATTTGTATTTTTCGCTATTTTAAGATTTAAATATTACTACACCACAACTTTGTGGGGGATTGGCATCCTTAGTATAAGAGTAAAACCGTAATTTTACCCCTTGAATGTCCATCAGGCGGTCAAAACAGATCAAGGAGTATCTTTATCTACAAATAAAACGCTGAAATGGCTGATTTTCTAAACTTCACGGGTATTGAAATGTGCTTTACGGAGTATTGTTCATTGAGTTTTTATTGTATTTGGTCGTATTGTCGTTCACTGGACCCCTTTATGTTTAAGTGCAATAGTTTATCTCTAATAAATAAAACGAAACCTACCAGAGAGGAATTTGATCGCTGTGACTTTGCAGCTTTAGCTAATTGTGATCTTCCCTCTGCAGTTGCAGCTTGAGAGTTCTCAATGTTCGAATCAATATCAACTGAAAAGTGTAAATTATACTGACCTCAGTAAAACGCAACAATTTCAAATGGTGAGAAAAATGAAAGACAATTTACCGATAATGGCTCCTTGCTCGTGAACTAGCACAGCAAGATCCTTGAAAATTTCATTTACTTCGCCAATCTGTTGCTGAATCTCTTGTATCCCTTGATCTCTTTCATCTATGATAGCCTCATTAAAGGCAATCTCATTGTCAAGAAGCACTACCTCTTGCCTGAAGCAAAGGCACATTTTATCATTGATGCACTTATGTTAGTTCAGTCTAATAAATTAATAATGTTCAAAACAAATTATACACAGTGCTATGACACTATTTGGTTTGTCTTTTCTCCATCGTAAGAATTTATTAGCACTCCAAGCATTCATCTCATGTTTTATCATCCGTTATTAGTCTTTTCATCTGTTTATAACATAAATATGACAAACATGCCCGTACAGATTGAATTTCACATACCCGCGCTATGGGGTAGTGCCCAATGATGTGGCACCATGGTTAAAAGCATTGTTAAATACGTTTCCATTTTAAGGTCCTCCATAAAGATCATTAAAACCCAAAATCTGTCAGCTCATGGAGTATGACTTCAGAGAGGATCATCAGCATTTTCCAACAATTACTTCTGCTTTCAAAATATCTCAAAACTCAAGTGCATAGCTTCATTACCGTTTACTTGCTATGGAATATTGTAATTTGTAAGGGTCAAATGGTGGAGCAGTTTTCCAACTTTTCCAAATATGGTAGTCGGCACTCAACACCCGATCATGTTGATGAATTCAATAATTCATTTATTACTTGAAGCCCAAGAACTCCTACTTTTTCCGCACAGCATCTTAAAGAATGAAAAGTTTTAAAATGTAATTTTAAGCCTTGAGGCATTTGTCAAAATTATAACCAAACTTTTAAAAAGATGGTTTTAAATGCATCTTTCTTACCCACAAGTGGAACACTAACACAGATTATAACACCTAATATCATCTCCTTTTTTTAAAATTTAGCACCTACTAGATGTACAGCTGTTATTCATAAATTCATTTTAACACCTTATATTGCATCAGTACCGAGTGTAATGTATCCCTTGTAAGCATCACTAGAGTGATAGTGAGTTGATGAATTTTAATTCGGGAACTCACCTCCTAGATTGAGCAAGTAGAACTTGCTGCTCCAGAATCCTACCAGACCCACTATCAGCTTCACTAGAAGTGTAACTGTTCAAAACAAGATAATCAAAGTGTCAGTCTCACAGATAGATACAACGAAAGAAAGCGCTCAAAAAAAGGTACTCCGTATACAAACTATTCCATATTTGATTGGAGAAAGGCATTGAAGTTCATCTTCCCCTTAAAGATCCATCTGTACTAAAAGCATTACCTTGAAGAAATGATAGCTTGGGGAACGTAAGGTTTGAATGTGGTTTCCTTCTCAGCAGCAAGCCTCTGAGCCTTTTGAAAAGCATTCAATATTTCTTGAAAATCTCTAGCAAGTTTTGCATCTGCTATTTTCTTGCTAGTCTGAAAGCAGGAAAAATATATAAATAATAATGGACCCCAACCTAGGAAGATAACTGCACAACTAATCGAAGACCTTAAAAAACACTTGTGACTTGTGAGTGTGTTTGGTAGGGATCTAAATGATCATATTGAACTTTCATATGCATAAGTGGCAACTTCCACAATTAAATTTTCATATTGAATCATTGAGGATCAATATCTATTGGCTATTAAGAACAAGAACAATGAGAGAGAGAGAGAGAGAGAGAGTTCCTACACTGACGTCGGGACGATGATCTGTTTCACTGGCTTGCTTTAACTTTGCAGATGTATCTTTAACCAACTGACCAATCTCCACCCTAGTCTTGTGCCTGAACTTGTGCAAAAATCATAAGGCTTTTCAGGACACTGATCGTCAACAGATGATGATCATATACACTCAACAGAAAACAGGTAAATTTCCAACCAAAACATTGTCACAATGATTACTAAGTACAAATTACGCTGTCGCGGAGAAAAAATCCATTGAAAATACGACAGATTGCAAGGTACAAGACGAGGACGAACGAAATCAAACAATTATCATATCCCAAAGCAAAAATTTGAAAAAAAAAGTTGAATTGTGGAAGCACTCACAGCTTTTCTCGAAGCTCTGTGGTGTCCTTGCCGGTGCCGAGGGAATTGACGAGCATCTGGAACCTGGAGACGGCGGTATTGATCTGGAAAACCTGAGCCCGTGTCGGGTCTTGTTCGCGCCGCGGCCCGACTGCCCGACCCGGTTCCAGATCCTGAAAGCTCATCTCCTTCGTCTTCTTCTCTGCTTCCTAGCAGAGTTGATCGATCCTTCAGGCTTCAATTTCCCCGCCAACAAAATCTATTAGGCGCAAACTGGGACGAGATTGTTCCAGATGACGGTGGCGGTATACGGCGGTGGGTTGAGCAGGTAGAGGGCAGAAAGAAATTACTTTAATCTCTCCTCAAAATAACCAAACCAATTTCCTCAAAAAAAAACAAAACAAAAATAAGATTTTTATTTATATTTTACTATATTTGGCAATTTGATTGTTAATGTTTATGTTTATAAAAAAAATTATACAAATATATTAGTTTAAAATTAATTTTGACAAAAATTAAATGAAACTATATTTACAAAACTATTTACTCGCAATATGCTCTTTTTAAATAGATGTGTTCTCAAACATTTCGGCCCCGTTTGGTACACGAAATTCAAATTATGGAATTGGAATTGAGAATTTCAATTTCAATTCTCGTGTTTGGTAGCACAAAAATTATGTGGATTTGAAGTTGGTAGTTCAAAAAATGAATTAGAATTGGTGAATTCAATTCTATTGAATTAAATCTCATGGAATTTTAATTCCAATTCAATTCCAATTCCATCGATTTCGTGTACCAAACAGACCCTTCAATTTTGATTTCAAAAAACCAAACAGAAACTCTTTTTTTAAGACATATGGGTAGTTACTTCCTTTTCAATTTAGACTTTCATTTTTTTTAAAGAAATTATGTAAAATAGAGGTAAAAATCAAAACTATCTTTAAAATATGATTGACATATTTTTATCTTTAAAATATACAATTATTACATTGTTAATGTAGTATTGTACATTAAAATTTCATAATATGTTTGACATAATATATTAGTGATGAAATTATCCTCACAAGGTCAGTAAGATAGTAAGATATTAGGTCGGGTTCATGAGAGAAACTCATTAGAAAATTCCTAACCCCTATGTTCTTATTCTACTATAAATACTTTCTCCGTTTCTGAGATTTTTTACTTTTTCGATCAAAATTCGTAAAATTTAACCTTAAACTAAATAAAAATGACATTAAATATTGATACATAAATAGTTTTATTAGATTTATTATGTCAAATATTTTCAAAATATTATTGTATCTAGTTAATGTAAAAATATATTTTATTTAATTATAGGTCAAAAATTGAAAATAACTGACCGGAAAAAGTTAAAACTGATCAAATACTCAGGGACGAGAATAGTATGAATTTTGGAAGTATGATAAGTTATGAGTTTTAAAATCTAAAAGAAATGATATAAGTTTTAAAATCTGAAAAGAAATTGTTTGAAAGATTTAAAATCATAAATTAATTAGTGATGGACGGGATTGACTTGAAATAGATGTGGTTGGCAGTGACCATGATAGCCCTTGCTATAAAATGATCAAGAGTTGAAAAAGATATCAAACTTCCATAATGATATCTTCTAAATTTGAGAAATATCAAAATCTTCAATTTGAAATATCTATGATGGTTATATTTGGCATCAGCGTTAGAGGTTAACAGTAGCGTTTTGAAAAGATTATCTGACGGTAGTCTTTAGCGTTTTCCGATTTAATTCATACTGTCAAAATTTTAAACAAAATGCTAACGCTAATAAAAAATGCGGATTCCAATTAAGACCAATATGAGAAGTATCAAATTCAATACTCCCATGTTTTTTGACTTCACAATTTCATCACAATTTCATCACACAAAAAAAAAATCCCATGTTTCTTTTGCTCAATTTGAGGTTGTGCTTTATAGGAAAAGCCTAATTTTTTGGCACAAGTTGAGACGCACAAGAAAAGCAACGTATCAGAATTGAAAAGAAGTTTGACTTTTGTTCACACAATAAGTACGTGCAAAACTTTAGTCATATGCTTAAGGCTAACGCCGCTGACTCACAAAGACCATACTTTGACCCCCCTTAAGTTAAATTCTGCTGACCCTCCATGGCTCCATTCACACCTTCTACACACTTCCAAGTAGAAGAAATTATGGAGTAAATTTTGTTCACTTTAGATTCTCTTTAAAAACCACCGTTCGAAGTATTAATTTATCTAATTCATATAAAGTAAATATTTTATTTAATTATAAGTCAAATATTAAAAATGATTAACTACAGAATTTAAAACTAGACGATTACTCATGGACAAAGGTAGTAAATAAAGTTATTAACATATACAAAGGTAACTGTTCTCTTGGGTTGAAACAATTTAACTTCTAACTTTTTTCAAGTCATTTAAATTTCTTTCAACAATAACATTATATATTCATATTAATAATAATATACCGACTCAAGCAAGGAAGATGATGAATTTGTTTTATATCCAAAATGTTAGGTTGTTTATATATTTATTTGGTAATAATACTTTTTTAACACTTTAATTTTTTAACGTTTTCAATAATTTTTTCCAGTATCTAACTTTAGAATTCCGACAGAAGAACATGTTCTAAATAAAGTCGATGCTAAAACTGGCACTAATGAGTTCATGTAGTAGTAACTACATAATGTCAAGAATTATTATCTTGCAAAATACTTGTGTTGTAGAGTCATCTATGCTGTTATCGTTATATGCTTCAATATAATTGTACATCACACGAAGACTTTCTCGGTTCATAAAAGAATGACGGACTAAATTTATTTTTAATTCGATATATTTTGCATTGTTTTAATTATCAAATGAGTAACAAAACTATAAGTGAACAAAATCATTAAGTTTTGATTCTTAAATCGTGAATGAGCAAATCCAGTATATATGTAGCATTTCATGAATAATACTCTGATCCATTCGTTTCAGTGTATTCGTAGTAAATGGTAATGCTACTAGAATACCAAAGTTGCCACTAAAATTGACACTATTATTTTGTTACTCAGCATCATCATTGGTGTTATTGTACCCCAGTATATTATCAAATGTCCCCTTGGTACCAAAACCAATTGCCCGCATCTATAATAATGTTTGGTTCATTTTTTTAATTTAATTTATATGAAAATTAGGATAAATTAAAAAAATCAAGTTTATGTATAAAAAAATTACAAAACAAGAAACATCAACAATATATTATTCTATTACTTCCTAGTTATTATTCACACGGTCAAACTTTAATCACTTTTTTTACCTATTTTCATTAGTTATTTGATAAAACAATATAGTTTTATCACCTACTGTTTTGTATCCGGAGTAGAACTTTTGATGTAGTTTTTAAATATATAAATTTTATTTTTTTAATTTTATACTTACAATTAAATAAATTTAATTAAAAATAAATTCGATCAAATCTCGTAAATTGAAATGAAAAGAACGTTTTATGATGGAGGGAGGAGATGATTATCTTTAAAATGAGAAGCTCTCGGTGGTGGTACTTAAAAAAAAAAAAGAAAAGAAAAATGTTTGACTTTTGTACCAATAAACCGGCAGATCGTCCACTGGAATCACGCCACGTGTTTCATAACAGTCGCCCCCCACCCCACCCCCCAACTGAACCCTCCGCGTCCGATATCTTCTCGTTCCATTTCTTCTACTCTCCCACAAGAAAAAAAAAGCCCTCTCCTCTCCACAGCGAGACCCCTTTGCCGTCGTCGGAGGTGGTGGAGCCGCCGCGCCGGAGAGCGTCCGATCGTTACCGGTGACGTACGGTGCATCTATTTACTGTGAGCCTCACCCCATCCAATCGTCTCTCTCTCTCTCTCTCATAGTAATTTCCTGTCTTTCTCCCTAACGCTCTATATTTACGTTTCATTAATTGCTCACCTCCGTATTTATTTCTTTTTTTTTTTAAATTTACTCCGTATTTATTATTATTGAAAGGAATTCGATGATGTTAGTGCTCCGTTTGGGACGCAGAAAATTCATCACTTATTCATTTCCATTTCAAAAAAAACCCCTCTTTTCTTGGCTACTATACTAGATCTTATAATAGTAATTATTTACTCCCTTATAATTACATATAATAATTATAACAAAAATATAGCTGTGATGGTATGATCACTTCACTCTTCTCTTCTTCTTGGTTGTGTTTTAATTTTTTCTCTTGCTCTAATATATATTTTTTTTAAAAAATTCAGGGTTTTCTTGGGTGAGGAAAGAGGCTAACCCTAGCAAGTTCATCTCATTTATAAAAGAAGAAGTTTTACCAAAGAAGTTTTTTGGAAAGAAAAAAAAATGTATGGGGATTGCCAAGTGCTTTCATCATTGGCTGGAAATGGCGTCGCCTCGCCGGACTCGTTCTTTCCGCCGCTGCAGATCGGGCAGAACCCTAGTTTCGGGTTCATGTCCGGCCTCAGCGGCCCGTTCTCCGTCTTCCATCCCATCATCCCGGTAAGTTTATTGGATATTTAATTAATTATTTATTTCATGAACATATAATAATAATAATAATACTACAACAATAATGCAAGCTAAATTTTGATTTTTTTTTGTGTGGTGGGTAATGCAGAAAGAGGAAGGCGGGTTGGTAATGAAGGGGAAAGAGGAAGTGGAGAGTGGGTCAGTGAGCGAGCAAATAGAAGGGATGTCCGGGAACGAGCAGGACGGCGACGAGCGGCTGCCGCCGCCGCCGGAGGGGGAGCAGCCGCCTAGTAAGAAGCAGCGGTACCACCGTCACACCGCCCATCAAATCCAAGAAATGGAAGCGTATGTGCCATTCAAATTAGATTCTTAATCTATATATCATCAATGAGCACATTAGATTAAAACAATGGGCTCCTTCATTCAGCTCCATTCATATTTTAATTAATTGTGATGTATATATGGAAAATAAAATTGAATGAACATAAACGTAAATCATGTTCATTAGCATAATTTAAGACTGATAATTAAATTGTTTTTTTTTTGTTGTTGTTGGGAAAATTAAGGTTGTTCAAGGAGAATCCACACCCAGATGACAAGGCAAGGCAAAAGCTAAGCCAAGAACTGGGATTGAAGCCAAGGCAGGTCAAGTTTTGGTTCCAAAACAGGCGCACGCAGATGAAGGTGAGTGCGCATTTTAGCATACCTCCCACCCCACCCCACCCCAAGGCATTTTTTCTTTTAAACTCTAAATTTAATTTAATGTTTTCCCAATTATAAACCCTAAAATAAAATTAAATGTGCTGGGCTGCCTGCCTGCTTGCTAACTGTTTGTATTAAAAACTCATGCAAAATTTACAACTGTGAAAAGGTCCCATTGCACGGTTCCCAATACACGCTTCTTCTTATTATTATTACCCATACGATGCTTTAAATATTGCAAGAAAAAATGCACGGTTTCAAATATTCATGCTTTTTATTACCTCTTTATTACTCCCTATAAACTTTATTACGGAGTACCGACTATTGTTTTAAAAACGTAAGCTTTAAAAGTTTTTTTAATTTAAACTACATATTCAATCATTTTCCCTCTTACTATTCATTTTCCCTTTTACCATTTTTCAAACACAAATAATTATGCCATAAATTTTTATACATGCACATCAATATTAATGTTCAGACTTTTATTTCAAACAGATATTTCATATAGTTTAAAAATTTATATAACACATATTAAATCGTTATAAAAAAAATAAAAGAAATAGCCCAAAATTGACAGAATGTAAAAAATGTAGAATGTGTACGAATCCCTACGGAACACGAGGTTAACACTAATAGCAAAATAGTACGGAATAATAGTAGTTATAATAATAGTAATGATAATAAAATAACTGGTACCAAAGCCCAAAAAGCAATTGTGTTATAACTGGTTGGCGCGAGATATTAGAAGAAGGAAATCGAATCTCTTTGTTTAATTCTTGTTTTAGTAGGTATAGAAATTTCTTTGTTTGCTTTACCATCTTCTGAAAGTTAAATCTTTGTATACACACCACAATTCAATACAGAAATATTCTCCCTTTCTTATTTTCTTCATAACCGCATTGCCTGCCCAACATCTTGGCACATAGTGTTACAACACACTAACTCATAACCTCCCTAAAAGTATTTTGTACGACATCTGAAAAGGAACAATGAAACTGAATCTAGCTGGGATAATTTGCTCATAGTAAAAAATGAAAATTGGAACGATCTCATAAGAAAACGTTTTTTTTTTCATAAGAAAGGATCGAATTAAACACTCTTATTTTAAGTACGGAGAATTTATCAAGTAGGAAGTATTTACTTAACCAAATGTGGCGTATAGCATAATTTAATTACAAACTATATATATATATATATATATATATATATATATATATGTATATGGGTCTTTTTATAATTGACCTGGTCAAATTATATTTCTTTATTTAATTTGTTGACCCGAGTGCATACATAGGCGCAACAAGACCGGTCTGATAATGCGGTGCTGAGAGTTGAAAACGAAAGCTTGAAGAACGATAACTATCGGTTACAAGCGGCCTTACGCAACCTCGTTTGCACAAACTGCGGCGGCCCCGCCTGGCTCGCCGCCGCCGAGCTCAACTACGACGACCACCATCTCCGCCTCGAAAACGCCCGTCTCAAAGAAGAGGTAAGCTAACATTTTATATATATAAATCACTTTAATTTCTTTTAATTCTATGGTGTTTTAATTGTGTATATACATATAATGCAGTATGATCGAATGTGTTGTCTCCTCTCCCAATACACCGGCCGTCAAGTCCAGCCAATAATGCCGCCGTCTCCCCATCTCTTCCCGTCGACATTGGAGTTGGACCCGAGCGGTCCTTTCCCGAGGAAGTACGAGGAGGTGGGTCCCGGCCCGTTCGCGGTCGAGGGCGGCCTCCAGTTCTCCGGCGGCTGCCCTTTGGTCCTGGACGACGAGAAGTCGCTGGCCATGGAGCTGGCGGTGTCGTGCGTGGACGAGCTGGTGAGGATGTGCCACGCCGGGAAACCGCTGTGGGCCCGCGGCGGGGACGGCGGCGGCGGGAGGGAAGTGCTGAACGGGGACGAGTACGCGCGGCTCTTTCCGTGGCCCCTCGGGTCTTGTCGGTCCCGGCCGAGCGGGGTCGGGTTCGAAGCCACGCGCGCCAGTGCGGTCGTTATTATGAACAGTATCACCCTTGTCGACGCGTTCCTTGACGCGGTACGTAAATTTAATTGTTAATTTGCGAACTACGTACATAGGGTAAATATTTTTTTTTTCCATTAATGTGTTGATCGATTTATTGGTGTTTTATATGCTTCATTTGTCACACAGGGCAAGTGGATGGAGTTGTTCCCTTCAATTGTGGCTAGAGCCAAAACTATACAAGTAGTTGTGCCTGGTGTTTCTGGCCATGCCACTGGCTCACTTCATTTGGTAATTAAGCACTTAAATTAGTAGAATACCCAATCAAGTATTTTAAATTAGGAAATTAAAGAGATGATAAAATAATTGAAACAATTACCTATATTGGATTGAAGGGCTATAGTAAAACTAATCATTTAATCAAGTAGTTAATTACTCTATAAGAAATCTCAGATTATTTGTCCAATTTTGGTCCATAATGGTTTTGTATGCATGTAGATGTATGGGGAGTTCCAAGCGTTGACGCCACTGTTGCCGACAAGGGAGAGCTATTTCCTCCGATACTGCGAGCACAACGCGGAGGAGGGGACGTGGGCCGTCGTCGACTTTCCTCCTGATGGTCTCCACCTCAACTTCCCGCCTTCTTTCCCTTACTACAAGAGGAGGCCTTCTGGTTGCATCATTCAAGACATGCCCAATGGCTATTCCAGGGTAAGTAATAAGTCGGTTTGCGTTCATTCAACTTTCAATGCACGTAAAAATAAAGAAGTCACTATGAATAAACAAAAGGGAAAAAATGGAAAAATTGGAATTGAAAAAAACAATTTTTTGCAGGTTACATGGATAGAACATGCTGAGATTGAAGGGGACACCGTGGCTACCAACCAAATTTTCAGAGATTTGGTGACTAGTGGTGAAGCATTTGGAGCCCGGCGGTGGCTGGCGGTGTTGCAGCGGCAATGCGAGAGGGTGGCTAGCCTCATGGCCCGAAACTTATCCGACCTCGGAGGTACCTAAGCTAGCCAATTATACTTCCTACGTCACGCGAAAAAAGAAATTTAATTAATTATTATATTCACTATTCATATGATCAAACGATCTTTGTTCGATTTAATCTTATAGACCATAACTATTATTATGCAGTGATACCATCTCCAGAAGCAAGGAAGAACATGATGAACTTGGCACAAAGGATGATCAAAACATTCTGTGTTAACATAAGCACTTCGTTCGGGCAATCCTGGACGTCCATCTCGGCGGAATCCGCCGAGGACACGGTCCGAATCACCACCCGGAAAGTCACGGAACCCGGCCAGCCCGTTGGCCTGGTTCTCAGTGCTGTCTCGACCACCTGGCTGCCCTATCATCACTCCCACGTCTTCGATTTGCTCCGCGACGAACGCCATAGATCTCAGGTTTCAATTGAATTCTCCTTTAATTTGCAGTATATATTATTAGACTCTTTGATTAATCAAGAAGAAGAAAGAAACTAAACACTTTTTTAATTATTGTGATTACTGATTATAACTTGTTTAATGAACAGTTGGATGCCCTTTCAAATGGGAATTCATTGCACGAGGTGGCTCACATTGCCAATGGCTCTCACCCTGGAAACTCTATCTCTCTCCTTCGCATCAATGTAAATTAAATGGCTTTTTTTTTCTTCAAAACATCCTTAAAAATAATTAACGTTAGCGTCTTAGATAATTTTTTAATATTCTATGATACAAATTAACTTTGAAAATGTTAAATGGGTGCATGAATAATAGGTGGCTAGCAACTCTTCCCAGGGTGTAGAGCTGATGCTGCAGGAGAGCTGCACGGATGATTCCGGAAGCCTAGTCGTCTACGCCACCATGGACGTGGAAGCCGTCCAGCTGGCAATGACCGATGGCGACCCCTCCGCTGTCCCCCTTTTGCCCCTAGGCTTCGTCATCACCCCAATGCGGGCCTGCACCGGGACCGACGAAAGCAGCGACGGCTGCCTCCTCACCGTCGCACTCCAAGTCCTGGCCAGCTCCATCCCGACCGCCAAGCTCAGCCTCTCGAGCGTCACCGCCATCAACGACCACCTCCGCAGCACCGTGCAGCAGATCAACGCCGCCCTCGGCGGTGCCTCGGAGCCGCCGGCCGCCGTGGGCCCGCCGCTGCCGGTCAAGTTGTCAAAGGATGCCCCGACACCGGGGTCGTAATAATTGATTGGTCAGAAGAGTTAAATCTTTTGTTGGTACGTAGAAAGTATAGGAGCAGGAGTTAATATATTGCCTGTGTGCATGTGCATGGGGGCAGGGTTTGCATGCAGGTAAATAAATGCATGAGAAGAGACAAGTAGGGAGTATTAGGTATATTTTAAAAAAGTGGTAGAATAACATTGATGATAATTGTCTGTGAATATTTAAAGACGCATGATATAATTATTTGTGAATTATATACGTTCACAAATAATTATATTCTGCGTATACAAGTTTACAGACAATTATCATTCGTTGTGTAGTGGGGCCATGGCGGGGCAATATTTTTCAGCAATGAATTAATGAGAGCTGGGCTGGCATGGCAGAAGGGTAAATTATGGTGAAGATGATGATGATGATGGTGTAGGGAAGTCAAGAGCGCACCAGATAAAATCCCTAGATAGGGTGGTGGTTCGGGAATTGACTTCTTCTTCTTTTGTAATGTTTGACCATTTTGTTTTTTTTTGGTTTTTGTGTTTTGAATCAACTAGACTCGTACCCGTGCGTTGCACGGCCTAATTATGAACTATATAATTAAGAAAAGCATTGATATTGATGAAAGAAAATGATAAAATTAAATAAAAATAAAAATATACAATCAAATATTAAAAAAATTTGAATACTATACATGTCCATCGCAAAAGATCATTTCCATTGAATCTTATCCTCTTGTCCAAGTCGGAACAAAGTAAACACAAATGGCTCGTAACATAAGCATCTAAGTTGCTCGACTTATCTAAATATCGGCAAGTTTATTCCACACTCTTTGAATATTTTGAGACATTTTTCGAAAGTGCATTCCACATCCTTCTCATTGATTTATTTTTATTTGACATAAAGTTTGCATCGAGTCACGCACCAACTCTACTATGCACGCGATTCCATAGTAATACATTATTCATTTGTTTATTTTGATTTGACATAAAGTTTGCATCGAACCACACTCCAATATTGTTACGCACGCGGTTCCATATCAATATAGTACTCATTTATTTGATTTAATTTGACATAAAGTTTGCATCGAGCCATGCATTAACATTACTACACACGCGATTCCATATCCATACACTACTCATTTATTTATTTTGATTTGACATAAAGTCTGCATCGAGTCACGCACCAACTTTACAACGCACACGATTCCATATCAATCCACTAACCATGAATTAGGCCCAATTCAACATGCTCAAATCCAAATGGATAATTCATTAATTTAGGCGAAAACACTATTCAAAAAAATCGTCTTAGCTTTGTATATAAGTAGATTAGATTAACTTTCAACTTACCAATTCTTTCCAGCAACGAATTAAAAATATGTTTATATATGATTAATATAAGATGTTATTATATATCAAAATCTATAACATATATCACATCAAACATGAACAATTATAAATTTCTTTAATCTAAACATAAAACTTTTTACATATTGATTTGGATGATCATTTAATTGAATGATCTTTTAACTCATAAATTCTTCTAATATTTTCTAATTTTTTCTCATTTTTTTCAACTCCTTGTTTCTTTCAAGATCTAGCTGGAATTTCATTTCAAAAGAATAGAGTATATTGTTGTTTTGGTAAGTAAAAATCTAACAAACACACTTTGTTCAAAAAGTAAGTTCATGCAACTATTCTAAATATATTAGCACTCTTGTTTTTCAAATTGGTATTTTAAAAAATTTTCTAGATTTCAAACTACTTAAGTAAACTAAAAATTATAAGATGGGTAATAAATTGTATTGGAGCACAGGTTGTATTGGAGCCTAGTAATTGTATTGGATAAGACTCCGTAGAAAAAGGGTGGGGCGGACTTTAAACTCGGAGTCAACTCCGCTTTAGAGCACAAGTTGAAGTCCGGCACTGCAACTTTCCTCTTCATCAACCAAACCACACAACTGAAATACGGATCGGATGCGCCCTAGAGAAATAATCAACCGGCGCACGGTGGCGCAGATAATATGATTCTCTTCAACTCTCTGTTGCTTCTCCACGTAGAATTTTTTTTTCCAATTTGATATTTGATTCTCAATTTCTCATTTCATTGGAAATCTCAAC